GCAGGAATCTACCTCCAATTTGTTACACATTTGTAACATTGGTTTATCACACACCACTTGAACGAAACAATGCGTAGTTATTTATTAGCTCGCAGCCTGGCAGGGAAATGTCATCGGAGGCTGCAGGAAGGAAGCCAAGGAAGATGCAAAAGGACTGGGAGAGCACAGGGACTTGCAGGGGAAACACTCGGCGGGTCTGGAGGCAGTGCTGGCCAACCTGCCCACGGCTCTGTCAAAAGACTCAGATTTCTTAGAAGTGAAGATTTTAAAACAAGATGATCAAATAGAAAAAAAAAACAGAGCAGGAGAGCTGAAGAGGTTTTGCTGTTTGCAGCCACGATTAAATTACTGCCCAAACTCCAGAGCAGGTGAAAAAAAAACACAAACAAAAAAAGCCCCACAAAAAAACAACCGAGTTCACAAGGAACTTGCAAGTGAAGAAACTACAAAAACATTTAATCTCTCGGTACTTATTTCCACCAGAGGCCACGCTCGCTGAGCTATATGGAAACGTTCCCCTTGCCAAATTCCCGTTTACCCAGACAAACAAGTTAATTCCCGACAGGCCTGGCAGGCAGGCGATACGTGCTTTGGCTCAGTACCGAAGCGAGCCTGGCCAAGCGATCAGCTCCGATCCAGACTCACGCAGATCGGCTTTACGCGAGTTTGAGGGGAGGCCGCTCGGAGCTGCTGGCTGCGTCCCAAGCTCCAGCACGCGCATTCTCTTAACCCTGAGGGTCTGTAGTTCTCGCAGGGACGGCCAAGATCACTTATTTCTCCTTCACAGCGCAGCGATCACAGTTCAGCACACTTGTGACGAGACAGGCTTGCAGAACACACAGCATGACAGAAAAATCTGAGGTGATAAACTGTAATAAAAAATTTCCTTCACTTCTTCATGAGACACATCGTCCATATCCCGATGCCTAAAACCACGACGTGTGCCCAGCACTCTTCTGCACGCGCTCCCTGTGGGCCAAGGGAAGAAGGAAAACCCTGCAACTACTGCTTGAGCTTACAGCGGCAACCAGAGGGGCTGAAGGTGGGCCAAAGAGCAAGCACGGATCGCCACCCTACAGCCTTTGGCATGAAGGGATGCGACAGAAAAACGTGGCAGTGAATCAGTTTAGGAACTTGCAAACGCTTCTGTGGGAAGAACAAAGCCAAGAGAGGGAGCAGACAGGCCATATGACACAACACTGGAAAAGCACACACACAAAATCCTGTCTATCTAGAACTCCTGGGTATTCTCCCCTACAGAAAACTGCCTTTAACAAACCACACCGTGAGGCTACACGCATAACACTGCTGAGAAGAAGCCGACAGCCTGAGTATAAAGCATCCCCAAGTGATATCAGGCAACTCAAACAGCAAAGGACACTTTGCCAGCTGGCTTCACCCAAGGGGCCATTGATTGATAAGGTTCAGAGAATTTAATATTTGTCCTCCTCCAGCCTCGTGCTGGCAGTACAAGCCTGCCAGGGTTAATAATATAAGTGAAACTTTCCTAAAAAAAGCCCCCCAAAAGAGAAACTGAGTCAGGTTTAGCCAGGCAAATCCTGCACTCATGGCACCCAGCCAAAAGGAAAAGCAGCTCTACTAGGCTCCAACCCAACAGCTAAATGAATCTACCTTGGCTTGGCTGCACATGGAAATACAAACAGGGTCCAAACAAGCCTCATTTGGTTTGGACTTTTTCTGCTACACTTTGTAAATTGTGGTCAGAAGCAGCTGTGTTTCCCTTCCAAAACTGACCCAAAGGCCTAAATTTACAGCCACCCTATAATTTCATGGGATAAACACCACCCCTTGAAGGACTACTAAAGAGTCTCAAGAGGCAGCTTCCCCTCAGGAACTGAACGGCCTACAGGTAGATCTACATGCACCAGTTCTATAGCACCTTCACTGCAAGAATATCTCAGACCACTGACATCAAGATCACTTCACTGTGAGGGCGACAGAGCCCTGGCACAGGCTGCCCAGAGAGGGTGTGGAGTCTCCTTCTCTGGAGACTTTCAAGACCTGCCTGGTGACATTTCTGTGGGGCTGCCCTGGGTGATCCTGCTCTGGCAGGGGGTTGGACTAGATGATCTCTAGAGGTCCCTTCCGACCCCCAACATTCTGTGATTCTACGATTCTGCCTGAAGGCTGGACCCACACATGCTGTGCTGAGCGGCATCACTCCCCTTGCCTGCAGCAAGCAGGGCAGGCTGCTAGAACGACAACTGCAGGAGCTTCAAAATCAAAATATCACACTCACCATCTCGGCGCTGCAGTGAAAACACTGTAGTGCGACATCTCCCAGCTGAACAAGGAACAAGGAAGATGAACAAGGTGCTGGAGAGGGTACAGCGGAGAGCTACCAAGCTAGGAAAGGATTTGGAGCATGTGTGGAACAGCTGAGGGATCTGGGGGTCTCTAGAACTACCTGAAAGGAGATTGTAGCGAGGCGGAGGTTGGTCTGTTCTCCCTAGTGGCGAGTGATAGGACAAGGGGAAATGGCCTTAAGTTGTGCCAGGTTGGATATTCCAAAGAATTTCTTTACAGAAGGAGTTATGAGGCATTTCAATAGCCTGTCCAGGGAGCTGGTTGAGTTGCCAGGGGGTTGAGTCACCATCCCTGGGGGTGTTTAAGAGGCGGGTGGATGCTGTGCTGAGGGACATGGTTTAGTGGTGTTGATAGGCCTCGAATAAAGGTTAGACTTGATGATCTTGAAGGTCTTTTCCAACTAAACCTGTTCTGACCGTACGACTCTATGATTCTAAACACAAAGCCATTGCTTTGGTCTGACCTGGCTGGGAAAAACAGTCCCGTGCCCTCGCAGCACCCTCCTGCTCACCTTCAGCATCTTGATCTCCCTCAAGGCGATCTTCCTCACCATCTCGTCGTCGTCGCTATCCAGGAATTTCTTGACGGCGACGATCTGCCCGTTCTCCTTGTTGCGGCATTTGGTTACCACCCCGTAGCTGCCTTCTCCCACCAGGCCCAGCACCTGGTACTTCTCCATGGCCGCAGCTTGCGGCGGGAGGCGGCGGGGGCGCAGCTCAGCTAGGCCGCGGCCGGG